ATATATATATATATATAAGTAAGTGTATATAAGGGAGCGTTTCCAAAAATGGAAAGTGGTGGAAGGGGTGCCACTGTGTTTGATTTATTACATGAGCAATATCTTAGCAATAGAAAAGATAAGATGTTTTTATTTTATATTCTAGCTTGTCAATATCAGTAATTTGAGTTGCTAACTCATATGAAACTGCAGACTTAGTATTTTGACTTTACAAACATCTAATTTGAATCAGTGCTGCATTCAACATACCATGTGACACACAAAAATCAATGTTAATCTGTGTTTTTTTAATATTTACTTTTAAATTATGGAAATGTATAGTACTAAAATTTGAATTATAATCTACAGTTTGATACCAAACTTATTGACATAAATGCATGAAACAGTAGTTCAGTAAAATTTTGAATGCGACTTAACAAATGAGATGACATGGCCTTTCACCCATGACCTGTCTCATAAGGGTTAATGAGATTTTCTTTTATTAGAAATGAAATATTTGTTGACTTTTTCTGGAAGTAACTGAAGATGACTTTTGATTTTTGGATTTAGATCTTTTGTATGCTTTGAGATGCATTTAGCACTAATGAAGTATTTATTCATTTGGTTTTCCAAGAACTGGGAGCTTTTTAATTTAGAATAGCACAAAATGAACTGCATATACATCTAAATATCTAAGGACTGTTGGTTAAATGGGGAAATGTAAGATTAAAGCTATTTTATGGAAGCATATGATACTGATCTACTTTCTAATATTTAAGAAAAACAATATTCTGATCAGCAAATTTTGTACATTGTACCAGAACAATTTGCACATGAAACTCGCAAATCTTGAAGCATTTAGATGGGTAAATTTTCATACTTGGTAAGCCAGATTTTGAACTTTATTTTGAAATTTAGAGTTAATGAGGGAGTTATTTGATTTTAATCCTCTTACCTCATTTTTTTTTTAATTTGTATATTTTACTTTTTGTGGTGGTATGTATTACTTTGGTATATCTTACAAGTATTTTCTTATCCTTATTAGTGACTGGAGAAATATACGGGCTAAACTCCAACAACATCCAGATTTTAATCAATATTTTCTTGAGAGTCCTGATGAACAACCTTGGCAAGAAAGTGACCTAGTGGATAGTACAGAAACTCGTATCCCAATGGATATTTTAGACACTTCTGAGGCAGAAGCATGCTTTCAGGAACACAAGGCATCACTAGAAGCAGATGAAAAAAGAAAAGAGTGAGTGTTTTTCTTTAAAATGTTTTTTGTCTTTGAGTTGGGATTGCAAGAGGTATATGTTCATTTATCCTCAATCTTCTGTTGTTTTAAGTGCTGTGAATGTAGTTCTTTTCATCATTTCTGTTTTGTAATATAACTGCTAATTTTGTTTGTATTGAAATATATATATATATATATATATATATATATA